TGGTTCCACCTCTGCCTCAATTTGAGCCAGGAAAAACCCTGTAGTGAAATGGACCCAAACTTTAGAGCGCTTCCTCTCTGCCATGCTGCTTATCTGTTTACAGCTCGCCCACAGTGACTGGTGACATTATGTTCTTGCACCGGCGCTGCTGTCTGTCTTGTCAAATCTCTGTCTTGCAAGTTCTCGTTATGAAGAATGGGTATCAAAACAAGGCACCCTTTCATATGACGTGAATCAGTACTCAGTCGGTACTATGAAATTTAGTCGGTGCCTTAGAAAGAACTGAATTCGGTACCCATCCCTGCCCAGCAGGCCCCTGAGGTCCAGTGACCAAAGCCTACTGGTTGTGCAGCACACCAGGCTAAAGACCAAAAGTGACAGGTCGTTTGCTGCTGTGACCCCCAGACTCTGGAACTCGCGCCCCCCCCCCGAGCCTGATTTTTGGCACTATATATTGTTCTTTCTTTCTGTCTTTCTTTAGATCAAAGAAGCCTTGCAGAAAGTACAAACTACTCAATTATCTTTGGGTTGCCTAATACCTTCGATTTCTTTGGTGAAAATAAACTTTTACTGACCGCCTCTGTACTTTCTTCATTTTTTGCCATTATTGTTTTTTTTTTTTTTTTCTTGTTAAGTGGACAGGAAGGAAGGCCATCGTCAGAGTCTGCCACTGAAGTGTGCAGCCTTATCTACTGGTTTGGGGGAAATATTTAGTTTTGGTCTGTTTGAACTTTATGCGCCGATGTCCAAAACACAACAGCAATATTTCATACTCGACGTCATTGGTTAGGTCGACTACTCGCTGCAGCACTTAAAGCAATATTACTGAATAAGTTATGTTCTGCAGGGATACAAACCCTAACACATGTGTTGTTTAAAATACAGCTTAAGGAAAAGCAAAGCTGTCCTTTTACCAGATTATTTACCTTTCAATCCTTATAGGTTAAGACTTAGTGAAAGAGAGTGAGATGGTGAATACAAACTGCTGACATGCATTTGACATTGTTCTGTCAGACTTAGCTTTAGAAATGAGCTGACGAGTTTCTTTATTTGATTATTGAAAAAAGTAATTTGATCTCCATCCAAAGTTTCGGAACACCAGTGGACACAGACTAAATTAAAACTTATGAAATCTTAGGATATCAAAATGAGCAACTTGAATCTACAATTTTCACTAATAATTTGAATGCACTGAGTTTTTTATCCTCTACTAAATTAGTAACAATTTTTTTAATGTCATTGAAATCTTATAAAGTTAAAGATCACACACTAAGTTTCTGCCAGTAAGTCCATTACTAGAGCTTGTGTGGTTTGAAATATTAGTAATGCATTCAAGCTTGGCGAGGTACATAGTTCCCTTCAACTTGTCGTCTCCTCCTGGTTGGACGTGCCCGGAAAACCTCACCAGGGTGGCACCCAGGAGGCATCCTAATCACATACCCGAGCCACCTCAACTGGCTCCTCTCGATGTGGAGAAGCAGCAGATCTATTCTTAGCCCCTCCCAGATGACCAAACTTCTCACCCTATCTCTAAGGGAGAGACCTTTGTATCCGCAATCCCGTTCTTTTGGTCACTTCTCAAAGCTCGTGACCATAGGTGAGGATAGGAATGTAGATCGACCGGCAATCAAGAGCTTAGCTTTCTGGCTCAGCTCTCTTTTCCCCACAACAGACGGTACAATGCCTGCATCACTGAAGGTGCCGCACCAATCCGCCTATCAATCTCGTGCTCCAGCTTTCCCTCACTTGTGAATAAGACCCCAAGATATTTAAACTCCTCTGCTTGAGGCAGGACCTCATCCCTGACCCAAAGAAGGCATTCTACCCTTTTCAGAATCAAGACCATGGTCTCGGATTTAGAGGAGTTCTCTGCTGCAAACCACTCCAGCAAAAGTCAGAGATCACGTTCAGATGAAGCCAACAACACCATGTCATCTGTAAAAGGCAGAGACCTGATCCTCATGCCACCAAAATGGATCCCCTTAAACACCTTGGCTGCGCCTAGAAATCCCGTCCATATAAGTTATGAACAGAATTTGGGACAAAGGGCAGCCTTGGGATCGAGCCCGACTTAAGCCTGATTCATGCTTCTCCGTCTGCGTCAGTGCGGAGACACAACGTCCTTGCGGGCCTGCTGGAGAGCTCCGTAAGGACGGACGGAGTCAAGCTCTCTTTTCTAAACATCCGTCAGTCAAGACGGACAACACAAGCTTGTGATTGGTCAGGACGCCGCTGTCGTCTACACCGCCGCCATTGCGCCCTCAAAAACATAAAGAGAGCCGAGGATAACTAGTGGCAGACACGGAGCAGCTTGAAGAATACCTGCGAAAAAACTCTAAAAACATGAACGTTTAATTCCCCCGTGACTGGAGGAGTGAAAAGATGCGCAGCAAGCCTTTTATTTGTGGACGGAAATGACAGGAAACGTGGGTTTAGAGGTGGCGAGCGCATGAAGAGGTGGAGGAGGATGAGAGACAAATTTGTCTGTGTTAAAAAGTCTCTTATATACAAAAAAAAAACACAATATAAACACTATCTTGGACCGATACATGACAGGATACCACAGAACAGCGCTACGCCCTCTGTTGTCCTGCTGGGGAATTGCTTTGCAACACTCTCCAGGAAACGGAGAAGTATGAGAGCAAAACGCTTCCGTCAATCCGTGCGTGTCTGTCCCTTGCGGAGCTGATGGAGATGCATGAATCAGGCTTTACTGCCGGCAATGTGGACTTGGCTCTGACACCGGTCATACAGGGACCTAACAGCCAGTATCAGAGGACCTGATACCCCATTAGAGATGTCCCGATACAACTTTTTCACTCCCTATATGATACAGATATTGCAGCCTTCAGTATTGCCCGATACCAATATCAATCTGATATGATATCAGCACAAATCATACATACTTTTCCTTATTTCATATTGTGGAATGTATGAAAGGCTTGCTCAAGTGATATTACTCAATCAGAGAACAAGAGCCAATAACAGTAAGTATAAAAAGATGAATTTTTTTCCTAACCACAGGTTGCAAAAACGTGAACCTTAACGGACTGCTTATATCAGAGATTTTTGATGCCGTCTGATTTAATCCGATACACTGTTTTTGGGATGATATTGAGTTACTTCCGATATTGATGTTGGAACAGGACATCCCTATACCCCATTTTCCTAAAGTCCCCCTCCACTTGGCCCCCCGAGACTCGCGTTCGAACCCCTTCTCGAAATCTACAAAACACATGTATATTTGTTGGGTGAACTCCCACTCACCCTTCAGGACCCCCCTAAGGGTATAGAGCTGGTCCACTGTTCCACGGCCAGGACGAAAACCACATTGCTCCTCCTGAATCCGAGATTTGTCAATCTGAAGGAGTCGGTCCCTCCTCTCCAGAACCCCTGAATAGACTTTACCAGGAAGGCTCAGAAGTGTGATCCCCCTGTAGTTGGAACACACCCTGCGGTCCCCATTTTTAAATAGGCGGACCACCACCCTGGACAATTTCTATTAGGGCTGCAACTAACGATTATTTTCATAATCGATTAATCTGTCGATTGATTTTACAATTAATCGATTAATTGTTTTTTGTTAAAAATCTACAAAACACCCCGCAGCAGGAGAAATCCGGAAATAATTTATCATTATTTGTTCAGTTATATTTTTTTAAGGCTGTAAAACACCTCGCAACTCACTTTAAACATGTTTCTTAGACAAAATTACACAAAATAAACATTTCTCATGGCTCTCTGGCTCTTCCGCTGCATCAACTCCAAAATGTTTTTGTCTCAGATTTTCATTTGGAGAAGTTGTGCTTCCGTGCCATGCTAATCGTTTTTGCATACCTTGCAGGTCGCCCGTCTTTTCACAGCGTCTAGAGTGAAGTGCTCCTAAATTTTCGATGTTTTTGTTCAGTTTTTTTTCTTTGGTTTTGTTTCTGTTTTTCTCCTGTACCTTTATTTGCTCTGCCAACTTCTTCAGTGTGAGCTTGTGCGTACGCCATGTGAGTTGTACATCATGAAAAACAGGAGTACCTATTGGCAGATTTCTTCTTCTACTGCTCCACTTGTAGATTGGTGGCTCATTACTGCCACACACTGGCCGCAAATGTAACAGATTGTAACAGATGTAACAGATTGTTAAAAATTGACCTCTTATGGTAAAACGTGATTATAAAACAATCGCTGACTAAATAAGTTGTCAACTATTTTAATAATCAATTATAATTGAATAAATTGATTAGTTGTTTCAGCTCTACTTTCTATGAGCATTTGATAAATAAGGGCCCTGATCTCAATTCTATATATAAATCTGTGTGCTAGCTAGCAAGGCGGCCTGCAAACTGGACCCAGTTACACCAGTTCTGTCAAGAAAAATATGACCATAAACCAGCAAACCAACATTAGAATAGTATTAGTTATGTGTGTATTGACACACTGTGTGGAAACACCTGGTATGTTTTACACAGTCTGCTTCAAAATAATTTAACAATCAAATTTTTTATTCTTATCTAAACAAGAAAAACTCACACAAACCACACATTTTTAGCTAAAAAGGCCCTGCTTTGTTAGAGAAACTGTTCTTGTTTTGTTATTTTCGCTTAACTTAAAGAAGTTGTTGTCATTTGAAGCTAAAAGTTTTTCAGTAGGCTATTTGGAGGTGAAGCCTTGTTCTGGCTGCCTTGTCCCGGGTGTAAGGTGCTGCTGATAAAGCGTTAATGGGCCTGTGTGTTTGGGGTGGGGGGTGTTAATTGATTCATTCTCCCTGGTCCTATTCTCATTAACACCCATTCCCAGGGTAACTAGTATCTCTCCAGGCTTCCTCCCTCAGTAGCCTCCCATGTGGCCCTTTCCTGCCTTTCCACTCTGTCCAGGGACAGGTGGCAGGGAGAGTTCTAAACCCAGGTCAGGATCTCTGAGAAAGATGGAGGAGGATGTGTTGTATGCTGCTATGCTTGTGATGGTGTACATTAATCTCCTTTCTCTTCCCCACCTCCCTGTTTTCACAGCATTCGCAGTGTGATGCAGAAGTACCTGGAGGAGAGAGATGAACTAACGTTTGACAAAATTTTCAACCAAAAAATTGGTGAGTCTGACTTCGTTTTTACAATTAAGGTGAAAACATTGTAGCCACAGCTGCCCTGGGGCACACTGACAGAGGCAAGGCTGCCGAGCACAAGCGCCACCAGCCGCTCCGACCACCACCAGCTTGCGGCAGCAGTAGTAGAGTGAATTTTTTTTAAGCAAAATGTCTGAAAAGGAACAATACAGGGGTTCAAAATCTTTATAAAATGTAATCATGCCTTTTATTAATAATTTATAGAATGTGTTTGTGATTTATATATGTTAATATAACCAATCCATAAATATATATATATATATTGATGTGAAATCAATTCATGTAAAATAATTGTGGTAATCATGAATCTGTGATTATTTCTCAAACTATAACTGTACCACCAAAATTTATATTTGCAACCCTACTTACTACACCTATTATGGTAGTATACCTTTGGCATTACAGTAAGTTGTTTGCCATCTTGCTGTTATAGTTCATAATGAATCATAAAAGGAAGTAAAACGCCACGATTGACTCATTATTCACTTTACACACACATTTCACTGTAAAATCATGTTTTGGCAGTTGAAAAAGTAGCTTGAGAAGATATTTTTACAGTGGACTATATGCTTCAATTCACCATTAGCATTGTTAACTCAACGTTGGCCTCTAACCTGCTTCAAGTTTTATTCATCGACATAAATATATGGACAATGGGTTTCCATAAGCTCCAGTAACAAGTTTTTCTGCTAAAATGGGAGATGGCCACCACCGCCATTTTGACCGTGTCACAGGTTGCGTCAAGCCCAGACAATTCCATAAAAGGGAAGAGAGGAGGAGCTGAGGGTGGGGCTGTAAGGCTGGGATCGACTGACGACACCCGGTCGAACTAGCTACAAGCTAACCTGAAGCTAACCCAAAGCTAATGCGGAGGTGGGAGCTAAGCTAACGGAGGTAGCAACCTAGCTACAACCGGATTTAACTGTGCACAACACCAGAGTTTCTAGGTCAGAGATACGCCGGGCTGACCGCTGTGTAAAACCGGATGGAACACAGAGGTCTCCGAGAGCTCCACAAGCCGGCAGCCGCACAGCAGACAAGCGCTGCTGCGATCTGAGATGCGCAGAGCTGCCGCTGGGGAGAACCGAGTGGAAAGGTTTCCATCCCATAGCTCCACAAGCCGTCAGCCCGCGCAGCTTACAGAAGCTGAGATCAGACAGAGATGTGCCGAGCTGCGGGGAGAAGTGCCGTATTTTGGCGGTTCTGGCTTGCCATAAGAACCAGCCGTCAGCCCGCGCAACTAACAGAAGCCGTGATCAGACAGATGCGCCGAGCTGCTGGGAGAACCAGCCATCAGCCCGCGCATAGGGATGCACCGATCAGGTTTTTTGCTGCCTATCACCGATACCGATATCAAAGAATGCTGATCACCGATACCGATCACCGATCACGTGGATTGGCCAGACATTTTCTACAACATTATAATGAGTGCTACAAACTACATAATCTGGGAATAAAGGAAATGTAACCTAATCTAAAATGGTCTGTATTAGGGTTGTCACGGTGTGAAAATTTAACCTCACGGTTATTGTGACCAAAATTACCACAGTTTTCGGTATTATCGCGGTATTTTTTTTAAACGTGCTACATTTTCACACAATTAAATAAACCCTGTATGTCAGGAAATATTGTCCTCAGTTTGTGTCTAAATTTTGCCTAAAATGTGTTATTTTGTAATTATGTTGTTTATTTGTTTACATTTTTTCCCTTTAGTCTTTAAAATACCAACATTTGCCCATAACTTCTTATTTTATGTCTGTTTGATGTCGTCATTTTAAAAATATTAGATCAGATGACACTCAGTACTCAAGTAGCCTTCTAATAAGATACTTTTTTACCCTTACTTGAGTAATAAACCCTATATCAGGAAAATATTGTCCTCGGTTTGTGTCCTTCCAGTGAGCTTTGCAGATGTGGGAAAATGTCATCAGGCAGTAATAATTGTTAAATTCATAATTATTCTCGGAGAGAGACCAACTCTGATCCGCCCCTGGGAGCCCCGTAATGCATAGCGTCATTTCAACATGGGGGTGTCCGTGACACGGTTTATATGCAGGTAGCAGGCGCTGCGGCTGCTTTATATAGCGACTCGTTGCATTCTCCCTCAACCCAAATCCTCGGATCACGCATTTTAGCTAAAACGCTAACGTTAGCTTGCCTTGCGTTGACTGTAGAGTTGTGGGTGATGGTCACGCAGATGTGTCATGAGATTTGAAGCGTTGCTGCCTTTCACAGACACTTTTTCTGCACGTGCTGCAAACAGGATAGTCGTCTTCTATAAACTCTCTCGGCATTCTTCAAATATCTAAAATATGCCCGTACTTCCCACTTTGTCTTCTTTGAGGGATAAAAAATGTCCTCCTTAGCACTGCCGTCTCCTCCTTTGACCATTAATTCAGCTTTAGCTTCAAGAAAGTTTTGGTTGTAAACAACAAAGCGTGCATGTGCCGCCGGCAACTTCAGCAGATGATACGGTGGCTGGTAAGGGTCACCGCGCCTACAGCGCAGCCACGGTAATCCCACCAACATAATATAGTTTTTTTAAAAACAAGATGGTTGTTATTATTGTCAACTTTTTTACCGGGGTTTACAGCTACACCGGTCACCGTGACAACCCTACCTGATCGGTCTTCTTTGATCTATTTTGAAAACAACGATCAAAACCGATAGGGGCGCTATCGGCCGATTGGGATCAAATGCCGATCCATCGGTGCATCCCTACCCACGCAGCTAACAGAAGCCGCGATCGGACAGATGCGCTGAACTGCTGGGAGAACCAGCCGTCAGCCCGCGCGCAGCAAACAGAAGCCGCGATCAGACAGAGATGGACCGGGCTGCGGGGAGGGGATAAGGGTGGAAAACATCGGTCTACCGAGAGCTCCACAAGCCGATAGTCGGAACCCAGAACCACCAACATGTTATATTTCAACCATTTTCTAAAGTTAAGCATTATGTTAAATGCACTGGGTTTTACCCTATTACATTTAAATTTCATGGTTAAACAGTACATGTTAAAATCTAAGCTCAGCTCGGCAGTGACCTAAAATACATAAATATAATTTTACTTACCGAAAAAAATGAAGTGGAGACTCCTTGGACGCTCTATTAGTGCAATTAATGCCACAGCAAGTCATTTTGTCCAACAATTGCACAAAAAATATCCAAACAAGAATACACACACACACAGAGACTCAAAATCCCGGAGCAGTTTCCAAGCCAGACCGAGGCTCTACTGAGGCCTTTCCACGGAGCTAGCTCTGTGGTCACGTGGGTCGGATGCTCATTAATTATACAGAATTTTAGGCTTTTAATACACTTAAACAGAAGAGTGAGAACAAAATCCACCCCCCTCAGAGTTGTCATGAGTGTAAACTAGATAATTTAAACCAAAAAACATGTTTTGGAACCAGGCTTTAAACATGTTTATTTCTGCTGTGAAATTGGTATTTTTAACATGGGAGTCAATGAGGATTTGCTCGCTTCTGACACCAGCCTCCAGCGGACGAGGGTGGAACTGCAATTTTTGGTACTTCTGGGATTGCTTCAATTTCAGAGCTGCATTGTGGGGGCCTGGTTTTATTAGAGGACAACGAACAGATGACGTTGCTTCTTAGGGGTACGAGAAATAACTTCTGGGTCACTCTTGGTTACTGGCTTCAGTTCCTTAAACAACTGTGGACACTTTCTCTGCTGGTATCGAATTGCTAACGCTGTCATTGCAGACTCTGCCATCTCACAAACTCACTGATGGTAAACAGTAACTATACCCCTCTTTGTTTTATTTGAAAGGAGAAAAACTGGCAACCTCCCCTTTTGCTGAGGATGAAATCTTTTTCAGTTTAACCTTCCTTCCAACATGATTAAGACATTAGGCTGTTTTGTGGTTATTTCACTGTAGAAATCTTACATATTTCTCCTTTAAAGTATTTTCATGTGGAATGTTACAACTTTTTGCCTTTTTTTTAATTTAAGACCTTTTTTCTGCTCATGTGATCCAGGATACTACTGTCTCTTGTTTCTAAAGCATTTTTTAAAACAAATCTTTTCAGTCCTAGAATGTTTGTAGGATGACCTTCATGTTATGGTTGGAAAGTTTATAATGGGTTCAGGCTGTTTCAGATAGAGTTAAAAGACTTGGTATAGTATACTTTTTTGTTTGAATTGAGAAGCGTCTCAAATTAAAAGCAACAGTTCTCCAGGGCAGTAATGTACCTATTCTGTGAACCTACAAGGATTTTTACTGTTACTATTGAGCTATGGTATGATAAATGAGAATTTGTTGTTGTTTAAATGCATCCTGATGCACTCATCAACAGTGATTGTAAAATAATTTTCAAAAGTGAGGAATGAGAAGCTTTTAAACTCCATCTGCTGGCCGAAAGCTCAGATCTCGTGCATTGATGCAGTTATGGAGCATAACCAAAATTTGCAGCCAACACAAAGTTCTAAATAACAATGATATTCTTACTGCAGGGATAAAAATCACAAATTAAATGGAATACCAAATTTCCACTTGTTAAAATATTCCAGAAATTGTGTTAAATTTGTGTAAATTATGAAAGAAGTTTAAACCTTGTGTAGCTAAAATCTTATGCTAATGCAAGTCAGAATTAGAGCGGTGCAGATCTCTGCTGGAAGTCATAAAACAAAATACCAAACATTTCTAGTGTGAATATCTGGCCACCCAGTGGATTTCATAACCATAGTAGAGGTTGGGAAATAAATACAACATCGGAAGTTTGTAAAATCTGTCTTACAAAATCAGTATTATTTTATTCTTCCTCTGATACTTCAGGCTAAGTTTTCTTCCAGCCTGACGCAACGTCTGCAACCTCGACAGACTGAACCAGTCCAGCGGGTGAGGCCGGGAACTAATGAGCTTTTGTCGACATGCCGAGAGAAGAAAAGAAACTAAACAGTTAGGATTAAGGAATTATTCCTCTGTGGGCGCACTGAGAGACCTTGTA